CTGACTTCCCAGCCTGGCTGGCTACCCAATCCCCTTAGTTATTTGTATGTAATCAACCCACCTTCTCTCATTTAGGACATTTTAAAAATACTGTCTTTTGCACAACAAAGAAAATCATAACATAAGAATATAGTAATAATAATTAGGTTTCATTATGGCATTTTCTAATGTAATTTGTTTTCTCGGTCTTTCTCCCCATCCCTGCCCCACCCCCACTCCACCCCACTCCGCTTCATCCCCTTCCACCCCATAGCCTCTTCTCTGCTTTCACATCACCTGTATTCTATTGCCCTCCTTCCTCCCTCAACGCCTCCCTTCCCCTTCTCTTGGTCCCCTTTCTAGTTTCGTGGCCTGTTACCCACCCTCACCCACATATATACATACATAAACATTAAAAGCCAGGACCCACACATGAGAGAGAACATATGGTATTTGTCTTTCCGAGCCTGGGTCACCTCACTTACTGTAATAATTTCCAGACCCATCCACTCTCCTACAACTTTCATAATTCCACTCTTCTTTATAGCTGAATAAAATTCCATTGAGTACCTGCACCACATTTTCATCCATCAATTGATGGGCATCTAGGCTGGTTTCATTTCCTGATTGGTGTGAATAGGACAGCAATGAACATGTATGAGCAAATGTGCTTATGGTAGGATGTAGAGTCCTTTAGGTATATGCCCGGGAGTGGACCCAGGCTGAGTCATATGGTAGTTCTACAAGAAAAAAAAATGATTTTAATGTAGTTAAATTTCTCAATGTTGTCCTTATGGTTAGCATTTATTGTGTTTTGTTTAGGAGATCTTTCCCTAGCCTGGGGTCATAGATGTATTCTCTTATATTATCTTTCAGTGGTGTCATAGTTTTCCTTCTATACATAAGCCTTTGTTCCATCTGGAATTGTTTGTTTGTTTTTTGAATCACTCAGGGTAGGAAACTAATTTCACTTTCCCCCCATATGGATGAGCAATAGGCCTGGTGTGACAGACCGGCCGGATCTGGCAGTGGCCACAAGCTTCCACAGGTGTGAGGGTTTACTTTTGGGTGTTCTCTCTCTCATTTCATCCTGTGCTGATGGCACTCTGTCTTAATCACCGTGCTGTTGTGATAAACCCTGGTATCCAATATAGCAAGTACAACATCTGGTTTGTGGGCTATGCTTAACTTTTAAATATTTCATAATTATTTATTTTATGTGTATGGGAATTTTGTTTGTACGTGTGCTCTGTGCACTACATGTGTGCAGTGCCCACAGAGACCAGCAGAGGGTGTCAGATCCACTGGAGTTGAAGTTATAGACAGTTGTGAGCCACGGTGTGGGTGCTGGGAATTGAATGTGAGTCCTCAGGAAGAGTAGCCAGTGCTCTTAACCTCTGAGTGGGTTCTACAGTCCTTGTGCTTAACTTTTAAAAAATCAGAGTATCGTGACTCTTGAGCATCTCACTCTTTCATATACATTTAAGAATCAGCTTGTTAAATGAAAAAAATGTAGGTTGGGATTTTCATTGAAATTGCATAAAATGTGTATGTGAGCTTAGGGAGATTGATGTCATGCTACATTTCATTTTCTTGTTCAAGAACATACGCTATCTCACTTAATTCTGTCTTATGTTCTAGCTTTAATAAGGTTTCATAATTTTATTCCAAGACTCTTTGGTTTTTGTTATTTTTGTATTTGGCATTTTAAAATGTTTATTGGTGGCCAATAGAAAAATATAATATACACATATGTATCTTAAGTTAAACACACATTAATTACTACAAACTGAACATTTATATGGCACCAGATCAGTTGAACCAACCCAGGTCCACTCATGCACCTGCCACTTACCACCCTCCAAGGCCAGACCTCAGCTTCCTCTTATACTGGGACCTTCCTCAGGTCCCAGTTAGCCCCAGCTTTTTTTCTGAATTGCCTTTGAATGAAATGACACCCCCACAAAACAACTGCCACACATTATTTTTGGGAGATATATTCATATTGCTATATGCAAAGCAAGAGCCCTCATTCTCATGGTGACATTGTGTGAAGATACCACAATATTAATTCCTTCTCCTTTGCATTTAGCAGTTTCTAATTTGGAATTACTACACACAATAGAGTTTAGGACATTGTGGTGAAAGTCCTTCTGGTACCGCATCTTGGGGAAGAATTGCCATGTCATAGGGCCCCTGCATGTTCGGCTTAAGAGACAATGCCTGATGGTGTCCTGAAGTGACTACAGGCTTACATCCCCATCAAAGCCTTTACCTACGAGCCCACTGTGCTCACTTTCCTGTGACTTTGAACTTCTAAGATCCTCCTGCTTCCACCTCCCAGGTTTTGGGATGACAGGTGTGTCCCACTATACCCAGTTTTGTGCAGTGCTGAAGATTGGGCTCCAGAGCGCCATGCAGGCTACGCAAGCACTCTACCAATTGGGCCACATGCCACACCTTTGGGTGGGTTTTTGAAATATCTGTGTTAAGCCCACTCATAGGGCTGTGCCTGCCACTACCTTCTGGTTCACAAGAGGACACTGGGGAGCACAGTGGAATGACAAGGTCCATTTAGTTGGAGATAGAACCATGGGCTTCCTACTTTAATCAATGCCATAAAATGTCTGTTTCTTCTCATGCCCCCATCCATTGTCACTCTCTGGGTTTCACCTGGCGTCCTGGGCTCCCTGCCTTTAACACCCATCTAATATGCTCTGATGGCCAGAAGGGATCAGTCTTCATGCCTGGGGAGGGGAGGACAGTTCTTGTGGCTGAAGAACTACCCTTTGGCTCCTGAACACCCACTGCACTTACTCTTCTCTCTATGTGTTATGAGGAGAAAATGAAGCCCAGGATCCTTCCTTTCATCATTGTGAGAGTCCATCAGTCACTCAATAGACATGTGCTGTACATTAGGTCTGTGCTACTCAATACACTAGGCGGCCGCTCACCTATTCCCACGACAACCCCGAAGAGCTGTAAAGTCACTGACTCAAGGTCCCACAAATAGTGATGGCACTGAGATTTGGGGGTCAGTTTATCTGATTCCAGAGCTCATGACTTTGACCCACTCACAGCTTCTTATAATCCAAACCCTTGGGCAATCTAAGAAAGGCAAAACAAATGAGCCTTGCTCTCACTGGCTTTGTGTGGCAGTTAGCTTTTAATTGTCACCTGGGAAGAGAGTCATAATTAAGGAACTGTGTAGATCAGTGGTTCTCAATTTTCCTAAGGCTGTGGCCCTTCAATACAGTTCCTCATGTTGTGGTGACCCCCAACCATAAAATCATTGTTGTTGATACTTTACAACTGTAACTTTCCTGCTGTTAAGAATAGCAATGTAAATATCTGTGCTTTCTGATGGTCTTCGGTGACCCCATGAAAGGGTTGTTTGACCCTAAGGGATGGGAACCCTCAGGATAAGAACCGCTGGTCTAGATGAGGTTGACTTGTGGGTACGATTGCGCGGGAGTTGTCTTGACTACTAATTGATGTGGGAAGACTCAGCCCACATTGGTCAGCATCATTCCCTAGGCAGGGTTCCTGCACTGTCTGAAAAGGAAGGAAGTGAGCCAACATGCAAGCAGACCCTCCTGCGTTTCTTTTTCTCTGCTCAATTCTGCTAGCAGCATCAAGCCCTGCCACTGTGACTTCTCAGCTGCGACAGATTGTAACCTGGAACATAAGACAAATAAACCCCCTTCTGGCCTAAGTTTTGTCAGAGTACTTTATCACAAAAACAGAAATGAAACCAGGACATCCATCCTGCTTTGCATCATTTTTCCCCTCTTGGTTCCCCACAGCAATTAGTAAGGAGGAAGCTCTCCCTAACCCTCCTTTTGACACCATTGGCTCTCCAGGAACTTAAGTGCTTTCATCCAGCAACTGGTGGGAGGAGATGCTGAATCCCACAGCCAAACATTAGGCAGAGCTTGGGGAGTCTGGAAGAAGCAGAGGGGACAGGGACACCACCAGATCATGGCCCACTGAGGTCTTACAGAGATCATGGAAGCTGACTAGATCCTCTACCTATATGTTATGGCTGAGTAGCTTGGTGTTCTTGGGGGACTCATAATAGTAGGGGCAGGGGCTGTCTCTGTATCTTTTGCCTGCTTATGGGACCCTTTTCCTCCTAGTGGGTGGTCTCTTCCAGTCTTGATATGATGGTATGTGCCTGATATTATTGTAGCATATTATTCCATGTTTGGCTGACGTCCCTGGGAGGTCTGCTATTTTCTAAAGGGAGAAGGGGTGTGGGGGTAGATCTTGGGAAGAGGGGAGTGGGGAGGGGAGACTGTAGTCAGGGTGTGCTATATGAGAGAAGAATAAAACAATAAATACAAAAGAAAGAACCTGTTTTTTCCACAGAGAGAAAAGGGAGCCCAGGCTGGGAGGGTGAGGAAGACTCCATACACCATTTCCCCCTTTGACATTCTGACTACAGCCAGACTCCAAACACAAGGGAGCAAGAGAGCCTGTGGGAAGCTGCTCTTCGCTCTTCTATATTGTTACACAGCCAGTTGCTGGAGGCAGGTGCCCCAGGTCCTCCTCTCCATCCTCCCTCTGCTGCTGTGGTTGGGAAGCTGCCCTGCATGGAAAGTGTGGGGTCCAGCTGGGTTTCCATCTTCTCATCCTGTCTCGGCTCCTCCCCAATGCCCGGGCAATAAGTAGATTTGGAGAGAACTGCAAAGTTGGCTCTTCTTTCTGAAATACTGTGGTGAGAGGATTCCAAACACAGAGTTTGGAAATATGGAACCTCCAGACCATGACACAACTAATTGAAAGACGAGTCTTCCTCAGGAAAAAGCCAGGCTGACCAAATATGCCTGCTTCAGACACAGAAAAGCGGCAAGCAGTGGCCTTCTGTTTTGACTGCTTTTGTGTTTTGCTCGCTGTTGCCTCATTTCATTTTCCTCCTGGGAGTAATTTTCTGAGAGAGTTGGTCCCTGCCCAGCAGTGCATTATGTATATGAGAGGGTACCCGGATGTGTAGGGAGTTTTCTTTTATATATTATTTTTAAAATATGGAACAGTTCAAGAACTTGTGTGTTATCTTGCACAAGGGCCATCCTCATCTACTCCGTATTATTCTAATTTTTGCATGTGTGCTGCCAAAGCAAGCACTGTGTAGAAGTTTTATGGAGGGGAGGGAAGGAGGAAAGGGAAGCCCAGGGCAATGAGCAGCTGGTGTTCCCTTGGAGTAATGGGCTCTAGCCTTAGGTAAAAGGAGTCTTCGGGACTGCAGAGCCCACCCTTCATTGCCCTAAGAAGCTGAGGCACAGGGGAGGGAAGTGACATGCCTGCAGTCACACACCAGCAAGGCACAGCCACGGTTTAGGCCCCAGAGTCCCTTGTGTCCCAGGTACTTTTTACTCAAAGCCTGACATTTATTAGGGATCTCAGTAAAAGAGCTCTCTCTTTCCCTGTGGGCCGGAGGGGTCATCAGCTCACAGTGTCATGGGGTGGAATGGAAGCTAGCTAGTCCAATGGGCTTCATCAGAGAACAGTCTCAGAGTCTTTACAATCCATCTCTCACCTCCAGCTCTGTCCACTGTGCCACCCAAGACACTGACTTCCAAAGGTGTGGCACACAGTACTCAGGCCACACCTCCCATGTCAGACTGTGAGCTTATAAAAGACCATCTCACTGTCAGCACCAGTTGCACAGTAGGCACTCAAAACATGCTGAATGCATGAACGAGTAAGGGGAAGCATGCATTCACGTTAGATAGGCAGATCAATAGACCAGCACTTATCATGTAAGAGACATGTTTGATGTTATAGGCAGTTTCCTGTATCCAGAATAAAGGATGAACCCTGTTTGAGCTCTCTGCTTGCAGCAACATTGACTCTACAAATGCAGCCCCGTGCTTGGCAGTTGGTAACAACTCTCACCCTGTGTCTATTCTCATGATAAACTGTTAACTCACATCACGTCCTTTAAAACTCACAAAGAGTTGAATCAGGCACCACTGTTCCCATTTTACAGATGCACCAAGGTGCAGAACCTACGGAGAGTCTGGGGCTATAGCTCAGTTGGTAAAGTGTATCAGCAACAGAAACCCTAACCAAGATAGTGAGTGACATGCACAAAGCCCTGGGTTCCATCCCCAACGCTGTAAACCCAAGTGTGGTGATACACTCCTGTGAAGCCAGCACTTGGGAGGTGGAGGCTGGAGGATGGCAAATTCAGTGTCATTTTCTTCTACATGGTAAATTTGGGGCCAGCCTAGGCTATATGAGATCTTGTCTCAAAAAATATAAAGGGCCAGGCATGGTGGCTTCTGCCTCTAATCCCAGTAGGAGGCCAGAGTCAGACATATCTCTGTGAATTGGAGCCAGCCTATTCTACGCAACAAGCTCCAGAGTGGCCAAGACTACATACCAAGGTGTGTGTGTGTGTGTGTGTGTGTGTGTGTGTGTGTGTGTGTGTTGTGTTGTGTGTGTGTAATTTTTAAAGATTTACTTTATTTATGTTTGCCTCTGTACCACATATGTAAGTGCCCTGGGAAGCCAGAAGAGGGCATCAAATCCCCTAGAATTGGAGTTATAAGTAGTTGTGAGTACTTGATGTGAGTGTTGGGAACTGAATCGAGGTCTTAAGTAAGAGCAACAAACACTCTTAATAACTGAGCCATTCTCTAGTCCTCTAAATAATATTTTAAAAAGAAGAACCAATGACCTAATATCAGGCCTGAAGTTCAAGCTTGGTGTTGTATGCTGCTTTGACATGGGCGACATCAGGAAGTTGCTAAATGGCCTCACTGCAAATTGCCCTCCCATTCTATTCCCTAGGCAGAGTCCCCTAAGTCAGGTAGGTTAGCTGAAGTTTCTGTTTATCCCAGAATAGCAACTTCCAGTTCCCTTCACAACCACAGAAGTATTCAAACAAGTCATTCCTATCCTTCTGTGGTACCTCATCCTAGAGGACCTCATCTAGAGGCTCTCATCATAGAGGACCTCATTCTAGAGGCTCTCATCCTAGAGGACTTCATCATAGAGACTCTCATTATAGAGGACCTCATCCTAAAGGACCTCATCCCAGAGGCTCTCATCCTAGAGGACCTCATCCTAGAGACTCTCATTATAGAGGACCTCATCCCAGAGGCTCTCATCCTAGAGTCACCTCATGTGCTTGATGCTACAAAGCCAGCCTCACACAGTCCCTGTCAGTCACTGTCTTAGTTAGGGTTTCTACTGTGGGGAAGAGATACCATGACCATGGCAACTCCAATAGAGAAAACAGTTCAGAGCTTCAGTCCATTATCATCATGGTGGGATGCATGCAGGCAGATGTGGTGCTGGAGCTGAGAGTCCGTACATCTTGATAGACAGGCAACAGGAAGTCGGTTGACTGTCACACTGAGTGAAGCTTGAGAAAAAAACCCTCAAAGCCCGCCCCCACAGTGACACACTTCCTCCAGCAAGGCCACACCTCCTAATAGTGCCACTCAGTTTGGGGGTCATTTTCTTTCAAGCCAGCACACTCACTCTGTCCCAAATGCATCTATATTCCCTTGCACAGTATGAGCTCCCTCCTCCAGGCTGTGAAGCTGTGACCTGATATCATCTAGGTGTGCCATGTTCAGCTCTCCCCATACCCAAGGGTTGAAATCACCCCTCATCAATGGGTCAAAGAGGGGCTGATAAGAGAGTAACTCACCTAATGCCACACAGTTGTGAGTCTCTGGGCAGCCCCCTTTCCTTCTGTGCCATGCACTTCCAATGCATACCATCCAACTAGTCTGCATCATGAGGTCAAAGGCAACACCTTCCTGGAGTCTGATGTAGCCCCTGGAGTAGGGAAGGTGAGTTTTTTGAGAAACAAATAAGCAGGTGAACTTCAATTTCCTCTTCCAAAACATCAGAATAATGGCAAACCTCCCCAAAACAGTATATCAAAGAAGTCACAAGCAACTTTGGATTAACTCCAGGCTCTACCAACCACTGTTTTCCCATAGACTCTTCAATACTCTGTGACTCCATTTTGTCACTGTAAAAGGATCGGAACAGGGTCTCCATCACCAGGCTAACGTCAAGTCTGCATGACTAGCATGTGTACAGTCATGCTGGCTTTTTATTGCTGGTTTTCGGGGTCTGAGTGAAAAGCACCTATGTGGAAAACCCTGGGAATTGTGGCCCTAATAGTTCTTTTGGTGCTGTCTCATCTCTGCCATCATCTACCTACAGGGGCACTACTGGCTGCTTTCCAAACTCAGTTCAGCTCCTTCCTCCTCCTCTTCCTTCTCTTCTTCCTCCTCCTTCTCTTCCTCCTCCTCTTCTTCCTCCCCCCACTCCTTTGCCCAAGCCTCCCAAATTTTGCTGAGGAATTAGCATCCCACATAGGCAGGATCAGGTTACAATTTGGCTAAGCCACCATGACAATCTTGGAATATTTTTTAAAAGGTTTCTTCTATTTTTAATTATATATGTGTGTAGACTTGTGCACATGAGTGCAGTTGCCTGTGGCAGTCAGAAGAAGCTGTCAGATCTCCTGGAGCTGGAGTTGTAGGTGGGTACGAGCCACCTGGGGTGGGTACTGGGAACTGAACTCAGGTCCTCTGCAGGAACAAGAGCAGATGTCCACTTAATTGCTGAGCCATGTCTCCAGCCTTCATCATATTAATTTTGTTCCCCCAGTTGTTCCCTTAGAGCCGAAGTGGGCATAGATCCCAGTTCTGACCAGTGAAAAAAGTGGAAAGGTATATTAGGGGATTTGGGGTAACTTTTTCATCCCATGTTGTCATGGTTACACAGAATAGATAGGATTTCAGCTGCCATCTTGAATCAATCCAAGAATAATGAGAAGCAAGAGACGTGATGGCCTCTGTTAGAGGCCCCTGGGCTTCTTGTTTTGTGATGGATGATGCAGTCAGGCATTATTGAAATCCATTTGGGCTTAATTTTCTGGTTCTTGCAAACAAAGCGACACAATGAATGCAGCACTTGGCATCCCCCCTCACCTTCCTGTTGCAATCGATTGTTCTCAACCAATTTTCCTCTCCATCTCACATCGCATTTCAGAGCAGCTTTTTAAAAAGTAAAACACTTTGTGTCTCCATCCCTGCCCTCTGCTCTTGAGAAACAGTCTCCATACGTAGCCCTGACTGGCCTGAAACTTACTATGTAGACCAGGCTGGCCTCAAACTCACAGAAATCTGGCTGCCTCTGCCTCCTGAGGGCTGAGGTTAAAGGTGTGTGCCACCACATCCTGCCTGTCCTTCTACTCTTTGTGAAAGAAGAGAGGATACACACTTTGCCTACACCAGTTCTTCAGACACAGCACATGGTTCGTAAATATTTCTTGAATAGATAAAATATCCTTTTTCTTGAATTTTCATTTAGATATTATTGAACAAAATTTCTGTACCAGAAGTGGTTGAATGGAAATACGAAATTATTAGTAGATTCTTGTCAAGCTTTATGAGCTATTAAGGGTCGCCATGAGGAAACAACATTGTCATATTTTGAATCACGTTTCTAGTTTGACAGCTTGAGTGATCTAGGCAAAGTTTCCCTCTAAGGAGAATTTGCAAAACTGGGCAAAATACTTTCTAGAAAAGCCAGCTTGAAAGTGTGGGAAAACTATCAAGGTAGAAAAACGAAAAACTGTGCTGTCTAAGACTTGAAAGAGGAAAGAACTTCAGGGAGGCAACGCTGGCAGAGCATGGGTGCCTGCTGGGGCCCCAGAGACACTTGCAAGTCCAGAGGAGGCGGCTGAGCTATAGGAAACATTCCGTGATACTTGTATAGAGGAAAATGTCATGGTTTGTGGTTTGTGATGAAGATCTTCCAAGCCCTGAAGGCTATTCCAAGCACAGAAAAGTAACTGCTGGAAAGCCTGCCTCACATAGACCCTGGCCCTGGTCTGCCTAGAAGGCATCTGGCAAGAGAGTTCCAGGCCCTATAATATAACTAACACATCTGAATGACTTCCAGAATCCAGTAACAGATAAGCCTATCTACAGAGTCAAGGTGAAGTCTTCAATCCAGCTTCACAGTTTTCAGTTATAATGACTTACATTGTACAAAGATTGGAAGAAACATCATACAATAGAAAAAGACCCTCAGATTCCAGCTTATTGAGTTGGACTTTAAAAGATTTGTCGTGATGTGAAAGAGTC